GATTTCTGCTGTCCCTGTATCGATACATTATTAGCAAACAAAATATCACAATACTACACAGTATCGATTTTTCCCCCCACCCCTACTGAACACTACTGTTCAGGCTCAAAATAATGACTCCATAAACTAAAGGATGAATTAACATTAGCTACACCAGTGTTTCCCAACCTTTTGGAGCCACGGCACATAATTCACATCAGAAAAATCACACGGCACACCACCAAACAAAAATGTCACAAAAAGCATATTGATCATTTTTCCCCACGCACCAGGTATTGGCTCGGTTTGTCCCCAGTATACCTTTTTTGCTTTCTTGTGACCAGTACTCACGCTAGGGCCTTCAACTGGGTTGGAATTTTCTCCATGACCCAGGTCAGATTGACTCCTTTTTGTTTTCAAATATTTATCTATTGCTATTACACGCTGGCGTGTCTTACAGCATGACTATTATGTAATTTCTTCCTCGTCTTCTTCTCTTTTACTGGCAGTTGGCAAACCATTTAATTATAGCAGGTAGTGTTACTGCCCTCTAGTATAGGAGAATGTAATTGTTCTGCCCGTTATTCACACCAGTCGCTTAGAGTACTAATTATGTGGCACCAGATAATCTTCCACGGCACACCTGAGCGGTTGGGGAACACTGAGCTATGCCAACTTTTGTGTACAGCCTGTGTGAAACACTTGACCTACACTAGTCTGCTAATGTTACTCTAACTGCTGGTAGAGTCGACTCATGCTGCAAAGTAAAGTGTGATTTCATTTTCCACTTTTTCCCAAAAAGCTATTTTAAAATATTCAAGATATTTTTCCTTGAAAACTTGTTAATAATAAAGCCACCCTCAAAACTCTTTAGACTAACAGGGAGACAGTGAAGTGTCGCAGTAAATGCGCTGGATTTGACATAAAAAGCTTTAAAGCCCACAACAGCAGGTGATTTGCTAAACTAACAATGACTAAGTTAACAGACTGTCGCAGTCACTGCTCACACAACACGTGCAGGAATGCAAAAAAACCACCAACAGCAGCTTCAGCAGTCAATGAAAACTGAGTAATACCCATCACCAGGTTATCTGCACAGAGCTTCATATCAACCCAAAATATTGACACTTTTCCAAAAGCAAGTCTGGACTCCTGCAAGTTAACTACCAGAACGTGGACTCAGCAGGAGCCCAAAGCTCAGGTTGTGAGAATGATCCGTGAAAGGGAGAGGCAGCCACAGTTTCAAAACACTGCTGAAGTGGAGGCTCAGGTCAGAAGGGCAGCGGGAGAAACCATATCAAGCGCCGTACCGTGCTGATGGGTACTCGGCACATGCACTGACATGAGTGGGCAGAGGGTCAGAGGCCCCTGCAGTAAAAAGTATAAGAGCGCATTCTCTCCACCTATCAAGCCCGTGTTTGTGTTCGTGTATGAGGTCAGACTTCTGTGAATGCTCGATGAGATGGGCGCAGCCAACGTGAAAGAAATGGAGCTCTGTTCCCTTGCCTCTCCCTATGTTCATAAACTGCAAACAATCCTTTAAATCACTCATCCTCACCAAACTCCACTGGCCCCATTTTAAGTAAAACCTAATTTCACAGTCCATGAAGACAAGACAGAGGAGTGTGTGGGTGTGTGTG